TTTTCATTTCCATCAAACATCCTTATGTTCCTAACACATGACCCCGTCCATGTCAGTATAGAGATCCAGCAGGAGATTTGTCCCCATTGAGGTCTGATGGGTTTTCAAAGTCTTCCTTTCATTTTTTTTGAGCCGTGTATTTCAACCCCCTCCACATAGAAGACCACTTCTATTTACTTCCTTTTTTAGTATATGAACTACTTGACCTCCAGAAGGTTTTACTCCCTTCATGACCAGGGTATTTTTTTTTGCTTTTCAGAGCGTTCTTTTGGTGGTATTTGATCACCACTGTTATTTTTATTATATAAATTTAAAAAAAAGATCAAAAGTTTGAAAAAAAAAAGATTTTCTACTTTCTGTTAAAAAAACACATCCAATAAAAATGTATTTGGTAAAAAGTAAATCCCAATAAATGTATATAAACCACTTGACCTCCAGGATGATATACCCCCCTTCCCGCGCAGGTCGTGTTTTGCAATACAGCGCTGCACTACTTTAACTGGTAATTGCGCAGTCATGCAACGCTGTAACCAAATGAAATTTATGCCATTTTTTCCCCACAAATAGAGTTTTCTGTGGTATTTGATCACCGCTGTTTTTTTTTAAACAAATTTGAAAAACAAAATATTTTTTGTTTTCTGCCTTTAACCACCTCCCGTCCGGCCGTTGCATATAAACGGCTGGACGGTGGTGGCAGTACAGGGTCGGGTGGCCGTTTATGAACGGCCTCCCCACACCCTGCTTGTGCGCGCTCCCTGGGAGCGCGCAGCACCGCGATCCGGTGCCCGCTGTGTCCTCCGGACACAGTGAAACACCGATCGTCGGACGGGACCTCTGTACGAGGTCCCAATCATGTGATTACTGATTGGCCAATCAGTGATCAGATGCAAAGTAGTAAGCAAGATGTCACTTGTGACATCATTGCTTACTACGTGTGAAATCTGTGAATGATCACAGAGGTCACATGGTACAGGGCTATTCACAACAGCCTTGTACCATGTGACAAGCTGTGACCAATCACAGCTCACTCTGTATTTCTCAATGACTGCAAGAATGCACACAGAGAGAAAGAGAAATGATTGCTTTTACATCCTATATGGGTGTAAAAGCAATCATTGTAAAAAAAAAAAAAAAAAAATCTTTATCACACCCCCCCACAAGTAGTACAGTGTCACCATGGTGACACTGTACTGCTAGGGTGACAGTATGTAAAAAAAAAATAAAATAAAAAAAAAATAATAATATAAAAAAATAAAATAAAAATGTAAAAAAAAATGTTTAAAAATTATAATTTTTGGTTATAAACTAATTTGTTTTTGTTTTTTTTTTTACTAAAAAGATAACGAAATACATTTTGGCAAAGATTTATGATCAAATATTATTTATTTGCAAAAATTTTATAAAAAAAACACTTTTGTTCAAAATTTTTGGACTTTTTCATTTACATAGCAAAAAAAATAAAAATCCCAGCAGTGAATAAATACCACCAAAATAAAGGTTTAACTGTCGCAAAAAAATGGTAAAAAATTAATTTGGGTACAGTGTTGCATGACTGCGCAATTGTCATTCAAAGTGTGATAGCGCTGAAAACTGAAAATTGGCCTGGACAGGAAGGGGGGGGAAAGTGTCCGGACTGGAAGGGGGGGAAAGTGTCTGGTCTGGAAGGGGGGGAAAGTGTCTGGTCTGGAAGGGGGGGAAAGTGTCTGGTCTGGAAGGGGGGGAAAGTGTCTGGTCTGGAAGGGGGGGAAAGTGTCTGGTCTGGAAGTGGTTAAAACATATCCCATTAAAAAAAATTTAAAAATTTAATTTCTTCATAAATTTAGGCCGATAGGCTACATATTTCTGGTAAAAAAAAATCCCAATCAGCGTATATTGATTGGTTTGCGCAAAAGTTATTCCATCCACAAACTATGGGATACAGTATATGCTAAAAAAAAAAAATTTCAGAACAGTAATGGCAGCAATTAGTGACTTATAGCAGAACTGCGACATTGCAGCGGACATTTTTCACTACCTGACACCTAGAGTCAAGGGGAGAAGAGAAGGAAGGAGTTAATTAGGAATACATTTTATTTAACCCCCTTGGCACTGCTGCCTCCAGGCTCTTTAAGGGGTTTGTGATGATGGGAGGTGGGGCGGGGTTTATGGTCATGTGGCCGCCATGATTGGCTGTCACGGCGGTCACACGATTGGTAAGCTCCCGTCTGCAAGTAGCAATCTTTCCATGAGGTGCCGGAACTTGCGGGGCGTACACTCTCGGCACATGTTTTGTTTACATTGGGTACGCAAATATACGGCCCCCCTACGCCAAGGCCCAGCCACTGAGAGGACGCATATTTGTGTACTGTCGGCGCCAAGCAGTCAACCACCTTCCTAATGCCGTATTGTAAAAAAGGAGGTGAGGAGGTGGATGGCTCTGAGGAAGAGGTTGTGTCCTCGAAACGCGTTAGCCAGTTGGATATTCAGCGTTCCATCGTAAGGACTCAGATGTTGTTCGGATCATACATCTTGTTCAGTTTGACATGCCTGTGTTATCATGTCCATTGTGAGTATGATACCTATTTTGTTTCTTCAATAAATTATTTTAAACGATAATGCACCAGGTCGGTGCGCCCTTTTTCTATTTCTCCATTTGTATCCAGTGAGGAGATGGATGTCCATTTCTGGAGTGCTGTTTGAAATTGGAACTTGAGAAATATCCCATGGTCAGCCAGGGTGCCTGTTAATGGATGTGAACCAAGCCGCGATTGGGCAGCTCAGATCACAGACACAGTGCTCAAAGCCAATCTGAGCTGATTTGATGTACCATGTGATCATTGTGATTGGTCATCCAAGTTCAACTGGCAAACTGAGTATTACCATAGCTCCCACCTCCCAGCATTTGTGATGCTGGGAGGTGGGGTAGGGTTTATGGACATGTGGCCCGCCATGATTGGCTGTCACGGTGGTCACATGATTGGTAAGCTCCCGTCTGCAAGTAGCAATCGGGACCTTTCCATGTGGCCCTGGTAAATGTGCCGGAAGCATGCGGGGCGTACACTGTTGGCACATGTTTTGTTTACATCGGGTACGCAAATATATGGCCCCTCGATACCAAGGCCCAGCCACTGAGAGGACGCATATTTGTGTACTGTCGGCGCCAAGCAGTCAACCACCTTCCTAATACCATATTGTAAAAATGGAGGTGAGGAGATGGATGTCCATTTCTGGAGTGCTGTTTGAAAACGAAACTTGAGAAATATCCCATGGTCAGCCAGGGTGCCTGTTAATGGATGTGAACCAAGCCGCGATTGGGCTCGGTTCACATCTTAGGGGACTCCCATTACCCCAGACCGGAAGCTTCTGAAGAATAATTGCTCACCAACCCAGTGAGCCAAAAAAGAATCCTCTAAGTGTAGTATCTTAGCCAAGATTCTTTATTATTAGTAAACAGAAAAGAAGAACCCACTCACATGTTCCCGCAGTCCTCCTTCCTCACCAATATGTGGGTGTACTGCATGTAAAGGAACTTCCTGGGTATACCAAGATGGCAGCTGGCGCTGGAAGTGCGTCACTGCGTACTGGAAGCTGCGTAATAGCGTACCTACGCGTTACGTCACTGGCTACTCGTGACTTCCTTGGGGTATCACCATAGGAACGCAGCTCTTCCCTTAAATACCGGACCTCCTTACTGATGTCATTAGTAGCCCGCCTCCCCTGTATATTTGTAATTTTGTATTGCACGTAGTATTGCTTTAAGCGCTGCCCTATTTATGATTATTGTACACACTGTTTGGGTATCAGTTTAAGTGCTGGCAGCTTTCAGTAGGTAGACTTCCTTTCAGCGCTGGAGGATTCTTGTCTGCAAAGTTGCAGAATCGTTTTCAGTGTCTGATGAGGAATTTCCCCCACGAATCATTATCACTCAATTCTGCAAGTGGTTCTGATTTACTATCTCTGTTCTCTAGCCGGTCTAAAAACCGCGTCTGACCTAAAGGGACGCTTTTTGGACGCCATGGACATTTCTCAGTTTCAGGCAGAAAGAACAGTAAAAATGCAGGCAGGGCGCCGGACAAAGCACTCGGGACACAATGTATGTGAAATGGTTTGATACAGGAATGTTATACTATGTGATTTTAGTGTATTTAGTGAATGTCACTTTTACAATTTTCCAATTTCCCACCAGTTCCGTCCCCCGTACGTCCCGACGCTCGCAGGGAACGGAACCCAGAAGACAGATACTGGCATCGGCCGGAGGACATTACAGGGGACACTAGTGCAGGAGGGACATCGCGGGTGGAGCGCAGGACAAGGGTAAGGGAAGAACAGATCCCGAGAGCAGCGCTGCAGTGTATTCCCGAGTGCAGCTCGGGGGGGGTTACCGCTTGTGGTGCTGAAACTTTACCCCGAGCTACACTCGGGAATACCTCCAGGGAGGTTAATGGACACCATCGTGTCACTTCCGGTCATGGTCCACGTCACTTCCAGTTACCTCACCGTCACGCTCTAACGCGTTTCGTCACTTACGACTTACTCATACAGAGAGTAGACAGGGTCAGGATGAGTTCAGAGAGTAGTCAAGAATCCAATCTGAAGTAAATAAAAAGGAAATCCAAACTAGCTGGCAGGGTGGGGATCAATCAAAGGTAAAGATCAATATACAGGAACAAGGCAAGTAAACGAGGAGCTTGAAGCATGTGTTGCAAATAGAATCACAAGCTTCACACTGAGGGCTTGTCAGACTTATAACAGGTTTGGATCTACAAGAGGACAGTTAGACAGGAAGAGTGCAGCTTAGCCAAACTCAGGATGCTGGAATGAGACCACCAGCTGTCATGGAACAGGAGCGGTTTGCGCACGGCACCATACCCAGAAATGCAAAATCACATGTGTATATATAAATACCATTTTTTTCGCTCCATAAGACACACCTGACCATAAGACGCGCCTAGGTTTTAGAGGCGAAAAACAAGAAAAAAAAATATTCTGAACCAATGGACTGCAGACATAGTACATGAGATGACCAGAGACTGTGGACACAGTACAGGAGATGACCAGAGACTGCGGACACAGTACAGGGGATGACCAGAGAGACTGCGAACACAGTACAGGAGATGACCAGAGACTGCGGACATAGTACAGGAGATGACCAGAGACTGCAGACATAGTACAGGAGATGACCAGAGACTGCGGACATAGTACAGGAGATGACCAGAGACTGCAGACAGTACAGGAGATGACCAGAGACTGCAGACACAGTACAGGAGATGACCAGAGACTGCAGACATAGTACAGGAGATGACCAGAGACTGCAGACATAGTACAGGAGATGACCAGAGACTGCGGACATAGTACAGGAGATGACCAGAGACTGCAGACATAGTACAGGAGATGACCAGAGACTGCGGACATAGCACAGAAAAAATACCAGGGACACAGTACAGATGACCAGAGACTGCAGACAGTGCAGGGGATGACCAGAGGACTGCAGACAGTGCAGGGGATGACCAGAGACTGCGGAGAGTGCAGGGAATGACCAGAGACTGCGGAGAGTGCAGGGAATGACCAGAGACTGCTGACCTTTGGGGAGGGAGGGGGAGCGGGTACCTGAATTTGCCCTTCCCTCTTCTTCCTGCGCCGGCTTCTGTGACAGCCGGGTGCCCACTGCGCATGCGCGAGAAGCGCTGCACTTTGTAAATGGCCCGGCGCCGTCTGGGACCTGTGTTGTGTCCCAGAAGACACCGCACCATTCACAAAGAGTAGCGCATGCGCAGTGGGCACCCGGCTGTCACAGAAGCCAGCGCGGGAAGACTGTGCAGCGCTGGAGCGAGGAACAGGGTAAGGCCCTGCAGGAGAGAATAGCTGAGCGGCCGGCCCGGTATTCTGACATGGTGGCGGCAGAAATACCGGACCGGCTGCTTTATATTCGCTCCATAAGACGCACTGACATTTTCCCCCCCTTTTTTGGTATATATGATTTTGCACACCAGTGTCACCCTGTAGCAGTATTCCTGCTATAGGATGGCGCGGAAGCGGTTAATGTATCATATCTAAAATATATTGAGTCATTAAAAATATCAGTATGTATTGCACATACAGTCACGGCATTATCCCCCCATAAAGTATAGAAATACAATTTTCCTATTGGAGATATTGAGAAGATGTAGACAAAATCCACTTCCTTCAAAGTGATGGGGGGTATTTTGGTTGTTGGATGGAGCCTGACTTGTTTCGTGACAAGAGTCACTTCCTCGGGGGCTTGCAACGCAACTAGATGAAAATAGACAAACGTGCAGGTAATCATTGCAAATATTAGCAATGGACATCAATACAAATAGAAGGCCACCTCTAAGGCACTTACATCAAATTGTAGACAGTGCATATTATATTATGAAGGACTCTTAGAGCAGCAAATCAGGTCCCCTCGGCCAATCAGGAAGGCAACTCCACGGCGCACCAAGCAAGGGACTGCGCAAACAAGAATGCCCCACAGGAGCCACAAGTAATATACAGGTAAGGTTGCGTAGTTGGCCAAGGGTGCAAAGCACCATTATACTTCACCATCATTGTTTTTCAGCTATAAAGGTGTGGTAGCGAGGAGCACAACGGGCCTGCAGGAGACCAAAATATAGAGAGTAGTCATTAGTGCCTTTGAAAGGCAACCCATCCCTACATTACATGATCATTTCATAGAAAAAGGCCCAAGGTTCTTCAACCAAGGTCACAGTGAAAATGACCTCCATAGACACACAGTCTGCTGTATAGGTGTCACAAGTTGGCCTGCAGTTTCTTGTTTGTGTTCTTACCTCCTTGCTGCAGTGCTGTTCCTGATCCCTTTCACGTGTGTGTTTGTCTGTGCTCACGGATGGGCGTCGCCTGCTGTTCTCTGGGTTTTATTTCCTTCCCTTCCATCGCTTCCTGGCCCACCTCCTTGTTGCCTGCCTATATAAGACATGCTCAGTCTAGGCCACTTTGCCTGAGCAACGTCCTAGTTGTCGGAGCTTCTGTGTGTTGCTATCTCCTGTATCCTGCATTGGCTACTCAGGTACCAACCCCGGCTTTGTTCTCTGACTGCTTGTTTTCCGCCTGTCCTGACCTCGGCTAGTCTACTTGATTTCTGTTTGTCTCCTCCCATTATACTCTGCTTCCGCAAGCGGTCTCCTCATCCTCAGCTGGGTGTACCCAGGGGCCGCGACCTGGTCCCAGCTTGCTGCAAGTCTATCCCCACCATCAGGGGCTCTGGTGAAGAAGCAGGCTGGGGCTCTTAGACTCTGCGCCCTGGGGAACCCCAAGTTGGCGGTCTACAAGGGCTCATTACCACAGGTTCGTGACGATAGGCCTAAAGGTATGTAAGGGCAACTACCATCCATAAGGCAGAGACTATATCTGCAATGCATACTAATATTTTTAATTACTAATTATATTTTAGATATGGTACGTTAATAAAGCAACAATTGTTTTTACATTTTTTGTTCTGAGTCTATGTGCCTAAAATGTGTCCATCATTAATTTAGATACATTTTGATCCTCTAATCTGGACAGGGCACCACGATATTCCCTTGGTGTGACCTTCAGCCACCCAATGGTCGCCCAACTTTCGTAAGACTTTGAGTTCACAATGACTGACCCAGAGACTGTAGGCATCCCGGAGTTGGCCAAAGTTGGGCACCTAGTTGGAGATCCTTCTCAGTACCGGTAGTGTCCATAGTCATCTGGCCATCCTGTATTCAAGCATAGCCCATCCAGAGGAACACTTTGCATGGGATTCTGGTTTTTGCACAGCTGAGCACTGATATCATATTCTTATCCTCTGTGGCTGTGCGAATTATTCCAACAGAAAAAGCATTGATCTACCCCGAGTGTAATATTATTCGATAATTAGCTCCTGTTTCCTGGTTTTATCATACTCCCAGTAAAGTTCCTCCAACATGCCCATGTTATCATAGAACACAAAGTTCGGGAGATATATTTAATGATTAAGCACCGGGAACAGCCTAGTGAAAAATTGTGCCTGCAGCATTGCAAGGTCGTTCACGCTCTTGCACAAATCATTTTATCTTCCCGGGCACGGGCTGCCAAGATTCCCGATGAGATCTCAGTCATTTTATTAATGTACATTCAGTGCACGCTAGTGCACGTCGCTTAAGTACAGTGTTGTGTCCAAAAATTATTCAACCCCCAGATGCTGTAAAGGGGTTTAGGGACTATAGTGTACATTTGGAATTGTATTCAGAATCAAATCCTACAAGGACGTTGTATCTACCCAAATGCAACTAAAACTGACATCAATTGTTTATGTAATACAGTAGTAAATGGTTCTTATGTGGTTTCTTCATTTGCCCACAATTATTCAACCCCTTAAAGACTACCACTCTGAAGAACAGAGGTTATTACAGGTGCTTTCCATCAGGTATTGAAAAACACCTGTGGATGTCAAGTATTACCGAGCAGCAATCAATGCATAATAAGCAACCCAATTAGGCAGCTTTAAAATGACTGTGATACTCAGCTCCTTCTAGACATTTACTGGTGTGGTTACAAACATGGGTGAAGGCAAGAGAATGGTCAGGAACGGACAAGAGAAGAGGTGATTTCTCTTCACAGGAAGGGCAATGGCTATAAGAAGATTGCAAAGATGTTAAACATACCAAGAGACACCTTAGGAAGGCATCATTCGCAAATTCAAGGCAAAGGGCACTGTTGAAACGCTACCTGGTCGTGGCAGAAAGAAGATGCTGACTTCGACTGCTGTGCGCTACCTGAAGCGATAGAGTGGAGGAGAAGTCCCAGTGTGACTGCTGAGGAAAACTGAGAAAAAGATTTGTCAGATGTGGGTACAGAAGTTTCAGCCCAGACAATAAGACGCACACTGCGTAATGAAGGCCTCCGTGCCAGAAACTCCCAGGCGTTACTCCGTATCCCCCTTGCTGTCTCCAAAGAATAAGAAGAGTCGACTGCAGTATGCCAAAAAAAGCCATTGTGGACAAACCACAAAAGTTTGTGGGATAGTGTTCTGTGGATGATGATGAATACAAAATTGAAGAACTGTTTTTTGGGCCATGGATCAACGCTTATGTTTGGAGGAGGAAGAAAGATAAAGGCCTATATGATGAAAAAGAAACACCTTGCTGGTACTGTGAAGCATGGTGGGAGGGTCAATCATGCTTTGGGGGCTGTTTTGCTTCTGCAGGTACAGGGAAGCTTCAGGTGTGCAAGGTACCATGAATTCTCTTCAGTACCAGGAGATATTGGATGGAAACGTGATGCAGTCCGTCCACACACTGAGGCTTGGGAGTACGTTGGACTTTCAACAGGACAATGATCCCAAGCATACCTCCAAGTCACTAGAGCATGGTTTTGCAGAGGAAAGGCGTGGAACATTTTGGAGTGGGCCATCGCAGTCACCAGACTTAAATCCGATTTGAGAACCTCTGGTGGGACTTAATAGGAAAGCAGTTGCAGTGCGCAAGCCTAAGAATGTGACTGAACTGGAGGCCTTTGCCATGAAGATAATGGGCGAAGATTTGTACCCGTAGATCGCTGCTGCAAGACACTTTTGATGGGTCAAGATATGCTTCACGTTTAATAGGAATGGGCTGTGGATATAACTGTTAAAAGGATGCTGTACTAAGTACTAAGAATTGAATGTCACTTGGGGGTATTGAATAAAACTGGATAATGCTGTGAGCACAGAAAAAAGACATTTGTGGTTATTTCTATTATAACTGTTATTGTTATATTTGTTCTGACCCCCTACAAGTGCCTCTTTAATGTAAATGTAAGAGCAAGATGAGTGAATGTTCAAAAAGCAATGTCAAACAAAACAAAACTGGCCAAAACACTCAATTTCAGTGGGGGTGAATAATTTTTGGACACAACTGTACATTGTTATCTTTATAAATTATAAAACCGTTTTATTACTGGATGGGACTACAGCACAGCTAATATATATTTAAGATGGAATATTGTTAATCTCATGTAGGGAGCAAATCGGGAGGGAATGTGATACACATGTTTAGTCATTCAGCCTGACCTCTTTTTTAATAAAGGAACACTCATTACAGGATAAGTGCCAAGTGTAGTCGAACATACAAAGATAGATAGATAGATAGATAGATAATAGATAGGATAGATAGATAGATAGATTGATAGTAGATAGATAGAGTTGATAGATAGATAGAGATAGATAAAAAGTTAGATAGATATATAGATAGGTTTAGATTAATAGATAGATAGATAGATAGATAGATAGATTGATAGATAGATAGATAGATAGATGATAGATAATAGATAGAACCGATAATAGATAGATAGCCCTTAATATGATAGATAGATAATAGATAGATAATAGATAGATAGATGATAGATAGATAGGATAGATAGATAGATAGATAGATAGATAATAGATAACAGATAGATAGATAGATAGATAGATAGATAGATAGTAGATAGAGATAGATAGATAGATAGATAGATAATAGATTAGATAATAGATAACAGATAGATAGATAGATAGAGGAGGATAGATAGATAGATAGATAGATAGATAATAGATAGATAGTTAGATAATAGATAGATAGATAGATAATAGATAGATAGATAATAGATAGATAGATAGATAATAGATAATAGATAGATAGATAGATAGATAGATAGATAGATAGAAAATAGATAGATAGATATTGGATAGAAACACACTATATTGCCCCAAGTTATTGGGCAGCCGGCCTTTCCACACAACATGACTAGAGATGAGCGAAGTATTCAAAAATTCGATTCGGCTGATTCGGCGAGAATTCGAGGAATAAATTTGATTCGATGAGAATATATTCGCTGCGAATTTAACTTATAAAAAGGGCGAAGTATTCAAAAATTGTTTCTAGGCTTCAGAGAGCCTTTATATTAGTGCAGAACACTGTACCTTTATTTTATTTAAATGCCCTTGGAGTCTGCTGGGGAAGAGAAA